CGGGGCAAACCTAGGGCTACGGCCGTGACGGCACTAGCGCATCCACCTACCAGTGGAAATTTTCGTCGCGCAGCTGCGCCACCGGCAAGTACAAGCTGCGGCAAGTGACAAGCATTGTCAGGGAACTGACATCGCTCGGAGAAGCCTGCGGCTTGCCGTCTCTAGACACGGAGAGGTGACGTTGCAAGTGCGGCCGTGAGTCCGTTTGCCATAGTGCCATAGGATCTAGAACACTTTTCAACTTGCTGCTGCCTGATACCCCTGAAGCAGTGCAATTGAATAGGTGCCTGGAGGGTCCTGATACGATCAGCGCTGCTTGCCCTGACTTCAGGAGAGCCTGGTTCGGCCAATGATCTTTCACATTGCCTGTGCCAGAGGCTCAGGAGCAAAACCCAGAAGGTCCTGGTTTATCTCTGTTGTGGGCATGGCTCATCCGAGCTGAGAGCTGACAGGCCCTGGCGCATGCCCACGAAATGGGAGTCGTGCATCGTGACCTGAAGCCTGCTCCTTGTCTCTAAGCACTTAGACAGAGGCGCCAAGGCTCGTTTTGGAGTAAACCGGTCCATCTCGTCGTGGTCTGACCCAAGGTGCTCCAAGATGAAAGGTTGCTTCACATCTAAAGACCCGTGTTCCTTCCGGAAGCCGAGTATCGAGTTCCGCGTGCTTGTATCTTCAAGCTGTATCTACCCGTTCATGAAAAGTTCTTTCAGTTCCTTCAAGATCGCTTGTTTCCTTTCTCAAAACTTTCCGGTATGAGCTCTTCTGGGCCCATCTTCTTGACTGTATCGCGTCCTGGCCTCACTTCACATCTCACTACCCGCTGCAAGTATCCACATTTCTGACGAACATGCCTACCGCGTGATATTGCAAATTGTGATTGTGCATCGTCCTTCGTCGTCGGATGTTGTGTCACACTGACCCCGTGCTGTGACTGGCGATTCACCTGTTGCGCACCCAGGAGAACATCCTTCTGCGGCAAGGCGATCGGTTCCCCAAGGCAGCATGCAACAGATTAGGTCAAGGTCTTTCCTCTTCCTGATGGGTCAAGCATGCAGCTTACGGACTTGAAGCAGTTCCTCGCCGTCTCCATGACATAGTGATATAGTGGTGGTGACGAGCTTGCTTCGGTTGCGCTGATCAGTACTCTTTGCGTGCAGGTGGCAGACTTCGGTCTTTCGAGATCTTTGAGGCCACTGGCAGTCGGCAGTACATGGTGCATGGTTTTGCAGACATACCTCGCAATTTTGTGTACACGGGTCCAAAGCCACGGAGGAACTCTGAAATGGCGATGACAGTCGCCGGCACCCCCACATACATGGCTCCAGAGATCCAGGACCCAGAGTCGATAAAAGGCGCAGAGCGCAGGGGGGGGGAGCAGTGAGCAGCTGGAAGCTGGGAGGATCCACGGCTGCCCTACGACTTCCCGGCGGACATCTACTCCCTGGGTTGCATTCTCACGGAGCTACAATCCGCAGACAGCCTTGCACCATGCCTTCTCTCTGTGTGTGTGTGCCACGCGCCATCTAAGGACCTCATGGACAGGTCCTTTTGTTGCAGTTGGTACGCCAAGGCTGGGAGAAGACTGTTCAGCGACTTTGCGAGGTGAGGCTCTTGAGTCATGCTGCTCAAGCCAGAGCTAACAATGAGCTGCCAACGAGCTTTTGGATTCCAGCGACCGTCGAAGCACCAGGCCACGCCGGGCACCCACGAGAAAATGCGCAAGCGCTGGCCTGATGGTGCGACACCTCCCAAGTTCTCTGCTCCCTTGAAGGAGCTGCAAGGCCAGGAATGCCGAAACACACGCAAATATAGTATCTTGTATGAGTGCCTCCATACAGGCACGTGCGCACATCTATCTATCCATCCATCCATCCAGCCATCTATCTATCTATTTGTCTATACTTCTGCATCTGAGTAGATAGATCGATGCACAGATGAACAGGCATCGATAGATAGAAAGATCATACATATATCACTTTGTACATGAACACATCATTAGCTGAGTTCATTCTTTCCTGAAGCGCACACAGTATAGCCTGTCGCGAGGCTCGATGATCGGTCAAGCCCCCGGCCTTAGGCCCACTTGCTACCAGGTGTGCCGAGGGCCTACGACCTTTGCTGTGTGGCACATTGAAGTGGCGTGGTGGTTTGCATTGTCACAGCAGCTGCAGCTTCGACGTACAACGAAAGCCCACCTCCGACCCTCCTGCCGCCGCCGCCGCCGCCGCCGCCGCCGCTGCTGCTGCTGCTGTAGAAACAGATGGTTCGGCACAGAACTCCGGTTCGAGCCACAGGCTTGAGCCAACGAAGTAGACTGTCCACGGTTCCACCCTTCCACGGAGCTCAGTAACCTGTAGCCATGATCGTCAGATTGCTTACCGATGTCAATAATTTGAAAATTCTCCAGGTGCCCGACTTCCGGCCACGCGATTCTAAAATTGTGTAGGTGGTGTAGGTCACGAAGCTCAACACGAAATATGCCGGATTGGTAATCGCTTCGGTGCAGCCTGTATAGCATCCCGTGACATCTGAGGCAACGATCTACTCACTCTGGCAGATACGCAGCCTCTCCCCCATGTCCTGTGGCAGGCGCTGGAGTTTCATGCCCGTAAGTTCGCTTGTGTGAACTATTCGGCAGAGACAGTGCCATTGCATGTCATTGTCACTTTTGGCAAGACTGTGGCTGCCTTTTGCAGCCAAAGCTGTCTACGTTCGTATACTTGGCGACAGGAGAAGACCAAGCTGCCAAAGGGCGCACCTACGCAGAAGATGCTGGGCTCAGAGCTCGCTCGCGAAATCGCAGGCAGTTGATTGTTGCAGTAGGAATGCACGGATCGTGCTATACAAGCCGTGGAATTCAGACCCAGCACATCGCAGACATGCCCTGATACACGGACCATCGCGGACCGTTTGTGCAGCGCTTGTCGGTGCCAGCGCTGTCACAGGCCGTGGTGGCTACGCCATCGGCTGCCGCGTTCGGGTCTTCGTAGACGGGGGGTGGCATCCCGGCGAGGCACGGGCTGAGCCATGCTGAGCCGGCTCTGCATTCAGCTTACCACTGGCGCAGGTGAAGCACATCTCGACGAGCATGTGCCCTGGAGCCGTGCAGGTGCACTTCAGGAGAGGAGGTGATGCCAAAGGCAGGAGATCGGCTCAAGACAGCTCCAGCAAAACCGAAAAGCACTGTTTTTGCACCTGGTTTGTCAGATTTTGTCAGTGTCTGTTGCAGGTGAGGAAGCCATCCTGGTCTGTCCCTGGCAGTTCCAGCAGCTGCTCCGACCAGATCCGGGAGCCATAACGAAGGATGAGAGGATGGGCACTCTCGTCTTTCCAGAGCAGGCCCAAGCTGTCGGCAGGTGATACAGATTCTACTGCGAGTCTTTGCAGGCCCCACCTCCGAAGACAAGCCCCTCAAAGGGGTCGAGGACAGTGTCTGCAACGCTCCGCGACCTGCGCTAACCTGCCCTCCGGCTGTCTGCGGCTTGTGTTTTTGCAAGGACTCCAGCGTCGACGCCCGCTCGGAAAGAGGCCCAATTCGATTCTACGTGTGTGGGTCTGTCCTGCTGTATTCTGCAACAATGTAAAGGTACCTGTGGCGAAGCAGAAGTGCCAGCCGGGCTGTCGGCAGCAGTGACAGTGCGAGGCGACGCTTGGAGTACTGAAAAGATCCTCAAGGTAGCGATCCGGCAGTGCAGCACGACAATTCAATTCTGGCTCCTGACGGCTGCGATCGCGAAGCGATTCGCATGCTACGGAAGAACCGGCCAAAGACACTTCCATCGTTTTGATGTTCATTCAACTGTGCATGCACATTCTGCAAGACAAGTGACCGGCTCCTTCGGAAATCGCACACCGCGGACTCTACAGCTAGTGACAGATAGTGCACCACACGCAGCCACGGCGTGTACGCGTAATTCCGACAGAAAGTTATTCACATGAGAAAGCGCACAAGCTTCGGTCATTCTTCAGGATGTGCACGGTGCTGTGAGCTTGGGATACGATGGGATACGGTATCTACTGATCTCGTCTATCCTGTAAGACCGATGTCATTACATCTTCAAGTGTCATGGCCCCTACCGCCACGGCACCGGGAGCCAGCAAGTGTGAGCAATAGCGCGAGTAAAGCCCACTGGACTAGGCATCGGCAGAGCTTGTAGCTTGATTTCTTCGCATACACTCGCATACCCTGTGGCTGCGGGTGGTCTTTGAAGAAGTTGGCACTTAACGCTGCGCAGAGTAGGCGGACAGACGTAGCTTTGGTGAACTTCTGGTTGCTGGAAAACAACAGGACTTGTCAAAGTGATGGGGCTGGAACAGACATAGTTTCATGTTTGAGTTGCTGTGCAGGTACTGCAAGAAGTACTCTTGCATGGAAGGCGTCGTGGCAGCCGAAGTGAGCAGACGCCTCGCGAACTATGCAATTCTGCGAAGCCTATGCTGGAGAGCTATAAGGCCTGGCCGCAGAAATCAACAAGTCGATCGAAGAAGAGTTGAACGTGGCTTGGATGCGAGACTTCTGCGGTTTTGCTCGGAGCCGAGTCCAAGTGAGCTGTGCCTGCGCTGCCGAGGCCTTGTTCTTCAAGAGTGGACTCACAATGCCCACGAGGACCCGGGGTCACCTCTGCAAGGGCATAGAGTGTCCCTGCTTCAGCACGCGCAGCTTGCGAGCCTGGTAATTAAAGTATCTAAGACATGCGGGCTGAAGCCTTGAATGGATGCATGTCAGCAGTTCCTTGAACGCTGACCGCCCATGGACCACAGCAACGTCTTCAAGTCGGAGCCCTGTGAAGTCGGCTCAAGGCTAAGGACTTTTCAGCCTGTTTCAGCCCCCTATAAAAGCCTCAACATACCTGTGTTTCATGGGTCTGCTTGCTTCTTTTGCGTTGTCTATATACAATGACATGCGCCCGTTCCAACTGGCAGTGCTGCTACTGTTCCTCGGTTTGTGTGCGCGCTTTGTCGTGCAGCATCTATCTTGCGAGATGTTCCTGCTGTTCCTGGCAGCACATCCAAAATCAGTTTGTGTGTGCTGCTTCATTGTCAGGTTTGAGGTTCAGAGACGGTGCACATTGTATTGCGGCAGGAACGCCTCCAGCATTCTGTTGATCAACCAGGAAAGGGTGCACACAGAAGACACGACAAAGTTGGTATCTGAAAACTGTGCAGGTGTCTGATAGCTACCCTGAGCAACAGGGTCTTCAAATCGCACAGGCAAGGTGCAGCTGCAGGGCGTGAGACAATGTGTTTGACAGCACGAACAGTGGATGGTCCTGACATTCGCTACTTAAGGCAAGAGCTGTAGCGAGTGGTCCAAGACCGTACCAGCTCGCTCAACATATCGCACCAGTGATTTTGCGCTGCTGGTGCTGCCATTTCTGCCCAGATGACCCAGATGGATTTATGTTGTATCTGTGCGCCCCATCAGAGTCACGTGCGCGTAGATGCAGGGTCTGTATCAGCAATCGAATAGAACCCGGGGAGTTGCAATGGGAGTTCAGACACAGTATCCGATGCTGTGCTTTGAAGCCATGAGTCTTTGACACCTGGCCGTCACAGAGGCATGGAGCCTGAGGACAAGGCCAGACCTGCGGTAGGAAGGTGCAGGAAGAATGTATGAATGGCCTGCTCTCTGCTGGCGACGGTCACCTGCAACTCACATGGATCAAGTTGTGAACGGAGCTTACATGCTTGCGATGACGTGCTTTCCCTGTCAGGGGCCTCGGAGCTCCTGGCTTGTCTGCGCAGCTTGCGCCTACCCACTTGTCCGTGTTGATGAGCTGATTGAGGAGAAGTTCCTCGGCTGACGGGTTCGTTTGCAACGAATCACTGCCTAAAGGCTTCTGTGATACTTGGCTCAGGTTTGAATGCCGGAAGGATGATGCTCAGCTCAACAGTTCGCATGATGATGCCAATGATGCGTACATCACTCACAAGGCGCTTTGTTGCAAGCCATCCTTAGGTGACGTGGGTCTACGAACTCGATGTATTGGAACTGTCAACTTGGTGCCTTGGCACTTGCAGCCTGCCAGTTCTGGGAGTTCTCCGGAAAAGCCCTTTGTTTTTGTAGCTTGACATTGGCGGCGATGACTAGGACCTGTGCGCTGTTCAGGTGTTATTCTGCAACCAATGCCCACGATCACAGATTCGATGTAGCCGGCAGCACAGCCCGGCACGGCAGGGCCACTTTGGTAGCTTCTCCGTCTCTCTCTCTCTCTCTCTCTCTCTGCACATCGAGGTCCGAGTGCTCCCGACGGGCTTGAACCGAAGCCTCGCCGTCGCCACATTCTGAGAGACTTGCAGCTTTGGCATGCTTCTGGAGCAAAATCGAAGCAGTTGTAATACAAAGGAGGGGAAGCCAACAGCAGAGTTCTCCTGGTTTCCGGGCTTTGCGTGGGCAATGGCTCACTGCCACAGCCTTACTCACTGGAGCTGATGAGGATCACAGAACCCTCCTGTGTGACAAGGCTGCCATTGCAACCGCCACTTGGGCTGGGCCTTCTACCCGGAAGCGTCTGAGGAAAGCGCGGGACGCGGGCCGGGCGGTACCTCGTGGTGCCACACCAGACTCATGGTGCTGATTGTTGAGGAGCACTCAGGGCCTGAGCGTTCGGAGCAACCTGCGGAGCCGGCTCCACCGCTCCTCGGCTCTTCAAGCGAAGTCTTCAAGGCCCCCACTCAGACCAGTTACTCATATCGCGAGGTTTGGAGTCCTGCGCGTGCAATCGCAAGATCCATGCTTTGAGGTAGTCCGCTATGTAGGACAATGGCATCGGTGTCGGGACTTTTCACAGATGAGGCGTTCATTGTGAGCTGTAGGTCTGATCTGGCTTTCTTCGGGCTCGTGCTCACGACTCCTGTCGGCACGCCAAGCCCTCGTTGGCAACCCCTCCTCGTAATGAAGTTCAGGCCCGGTGATTTCAGGCACCGCTGCGAGCCAGCAACGCAGCTATCGTTTCAAGCTGTCCCATGGGCCGCCCGGGCATAAGGGTGACAGTGAGCCCAAGCCGAGGAAGATGCGGGAGAGCCGGTTACACGATTCAGAAGTGGATGAGATCTTCACCAGAGCCAGGCAAGATGGGTCTGAGAAATGCAAGTTCTGTTGTGGTAATTGCTCAAAGCCTGTTCTGTCGTCGCGTACCTCGATGTGGACATGGTGTGGTGTCTCGAGCAGAATACGTCAACTGTGCACAGGATTGTATGTAGCACCACATCCAATCGACACCGTGACCATTGCTGAACCCTCCCTGTAACGCAGGTCGACGCAGCAATCGTGTGAGCCTGAGCACTGCTTGGTGCAAAGGGTAGAGCATGATGGAGCATGGTTGACTTGACATCCAAAAGTCATCCGGGCAGGCCAAATCGGCAAGAAGTTTCGAGCATGCTGCGCTCGCTGAGACAAGCCTTGAGACATGTGTCTGCATACTGAATGTTAAGAGGCGCTTGATGGGCAGTTGCGGGCTGGTGTGCCGTGGAAAGCTGAGGACAGGTACCTGCCGACGCGCTGTTATTTTCATATGCTCTGGCCTCATGATTTCATGGGCACACGAGAAGCTTCGGACCCATGAGATGCGCTGATAGCGTGGTGCTCTGCCTGATTCTGCGTGGGAGAGTTACCTGTACAATCAGTCTTAGACCATGCCCCGTCATCTCCGGTAGCCTTGGTGGTTAGCCTTTTCGTGACTGCAGTTCTTATCTCAGCGCCGAGAAGACACTTCCAGCCGTGAGTCGATGCAGAGTACAGAGGCCAATCATGCCGACATGTGGTCTAAACTGTCTAAACCAGTGACGCAGGGGTGGTTGTCTTTCTTGCAGTGCGTGCGTCGATGTATCGTAGAGTCGTAGAGGGCAGTCACAGCGCTCCAGATGGTCGGGGTTGATCACAGTCGTTGTATCAGTCGGCGCCCGCGTCGTTGTTTTGGTCGGTGTTGCGGCAGGTGTTCTCAGTTCGATTTCGGATCATCATGTCAATGTTGGTCTTCTGGTTAAAGAGGAAGGCTCGAGATCGACTTGTCTTTGGATGGCTGGTTGTGCATCCCAACGACTGCATGGCTGTTGGGTGTGTGTTCAGCTTTGCGAAAGTACAGTAGCAAGTAAGCAGCAGAGTTCAAGTAAATAAGGAGTGCGCGTGTACGTACGTAGGTACGTAAGTAGCATGCACGTGAGTTGGAAGAGTGGGTTCATGCCACAGAAATCAGACCATGCGATTGCTGGCAATTGTTGTCATGCTTCTTGTCTCGCAGACGACGCTGGAGGATCGTGACAGGCGCAGGGTTGCCGCGATGCTGTCACTTTCTTGGTGTTGGCTGCAGCCACGAACAAGTCTTTGCGAAGGCGTGATCCTGAAGCCCAGCCCGAGCAAGCTGACGCTGAAGCGCGGCTCGGCCTTCGATCTCCCCAGCTAGCCTTAGCAGACATGCTCGTGACAGAGTCTGTTTCGCAAATCGATGTGATCGCATTGCTGCTCAGGTAGTCCTGCAAGCAATTTACGGCTGCGTACGTGCCGGCTGTTGTGTACAGCCCGTTCAGTGTGCGATAGGAGCACCGTGCAAGACGAAGCCCAAAGCTGGATTGGTCTTGAACCGTTCAAACCCGCCCAAGTTAAAATGGGAGCCGAGCCCTTCGCTTGCAGCTTCTCGGAGTGCGAGTTTGCTTCTTGTTTCTTGGCATGAAGGTGCCTTCCGACGCGCAAAACAAGGAGGCTGCATGGCCAAAGCCACTCTCTTCTGCAAGCTTCAAACATCTCAGAGATGCGCAGACTGAGTGCAGGGCCTCGCAGACATGGCCTCGCGTGCCATACTCCGCCAGTGCGCTGCAGAGCGTGGGATGTGGCTGCAGATGCGTGCGAATGTTATAATGACAGGAAGTCAAACAACTGGTGCAACCCGCTGACTGATGGAAGTTTCCAAGGTTTGGCTCCTGGAGCAATGCATCACTCCTCGAAACCAAGCCGAGGCTCCACCACCTACATGAGAAGTTGTTAATGGCCTGCGCCACATAGTCCATGGCCAGGTTGGTGATGAACTTTAGCTGGGGAGCGGTGTCCAGCGGAGCATCAGACCTTCATTGCACACCTCTGCAGAGAAGAGGCCCAGGGAGGGGTCAGCAGACTCATTGGGCTCCCAGTGGCTTGGAGGCTTCCAATCTGATTGTTACCTGGTGGCGACTTCGTCCATCAAGATGGACTCTCGCACAAGGCTCGGACCTTTCCCGGCATGCTACGGAGTCACTTGCAGACTTTGGGGGCTTCAAGGAGGAAGCAGGGCTTCAAAATGCTTCATTGGATGAAGGCTCATGCCTTGCAGGTGGCTCGTCGTTGCCGTTCTTCACTCTGGCATCTTCACGGGAAGTACTGCCAAACACCCAGCAACGCAGGGTCCTCTTGCCGTGAGCTAAGCGCACTGTCAGGTCGAAGTAGAGAACGAGGTTGATCAGAAGGCTCCCTGCACAAAAATAGGGGTTTGATCATTCTGCAGCTTTGAAGCTCTCGACGTTCTGTCCTGCCAGGTGGCTTCTTTCGAGAAGTCGACCATTGAAAGCCTGGAAGAGGCATGCTAAATCATTCGAATGACTCACGCCCAGCAGCATGATGTTGTGCAAGAGAGTCTGACAGTCGCCAGAGAAGCAGAGAAGAAGATGTCAACATCATGTCCTCTCATGTTCTTTGGGTAGACCCCACCTTGTCCCACATGTCGCCTGCGTTCAAGTCAGCGTTGCGGCCAGGGCCGTGCGAGGGGCCTGTACGTGCTGCTTGCAAGATGCCCGGTTCATCACCGGCTGCAAGTGCGTGTCAAGTTGGAGTCGTTCTTAGTGCAACATTATACCGAATTGCATCAGGTGATGACTCTCCTCAGTGTCGCGACGTCTCTGCTGGTGGGCCGCATGGTGGCTGGACCCCTCAGGCCAGGCTCCCAAAGGAAAGTGGGGCCGCTCTGTGCCTGCACTAGAGCTCGTGCACTACCTCGCCTCCTCAGTCGTGGAAGGGGGGGGGGGGGAAAGGGCCTATAACTTTGGTGCCACGTTGCTACTGCTCCTGGCCGATCGGCATTGGAGTTGTCTCAGAGAAGCATCTTTGCTTCATGCTTTGTCTGAGACATTTGACGGACCTCATGGACAAGCTTAGCGAGCTGGACTTTGAGCCGACTCCTCACAGTTCACGCAGACCTGCGAGGAACCTGAGCTGACCGCCCATCGCTGAGGCCTGAAAATGCCGTGAGCCGCGGTGCGAGGACACCATGCTAGACTGGCTGCTAAGGAAGTAGGAACGCCTGCCAGTGCAGTGAGAACACCTGTGCGCATTGAGTTCGTTGTCAGGCGCTCTTGCATCCAAGACGTAGCTGAACTGGAAATCGCGTGACATCCTCAGAAACTAGGACTTGCAACCTTGCGCTTGCAGTGCACACGATGTGACTGAGTCTGAGGTTCGGCCGCCTGGCGCGTGGCATCGGGATGTTTGCGCGCTTCGTCCCACAAACGGTGGCTCGGGCCTCGTGTGGCATCAGCTTTCGCAAGTCTTGGGCTCAGGCCTTCGTCAGTGTTCTCCCAGCACGTATTCAGACTGTCGAAAGGCATTCCCTGCTCCGAATGCCACGTCACTGCCAAAGTCTCTGAAGTTTAGGGCCAGATGGCGTTGCACCGGTATCCTGCCATTCTTTCATACAGAGGAGCGCAATTGATAAGCACAACTGCTGTAGCACAGTTTCGGTCAAAAGCACGGGCAGGCCCAGCCACAACCCATTCGTGCCCGAAAGGAGGAACTCTTCATCTGCAGTTCTCCCAGAAAACATGTCGAAAACATGTCAGGCCACCCAGGCCCTTCAATCGTAATCTACGGCTCAGCTCGTTCGGTGTTTGAACACTTTGCGAAGTGTGCAAGAACAGTCGCTGAAGCAGCAACACGTCTGACACGATGTGGCTTTCTGACATGAAATTTTCGGTCAGTTTGGGTATGCCGCACGCTGCAGCAGCCCGTGGTACCGCCACGAACTAAGGTCCGCAACATCGTGAGCCAGGGCGATGACTTTGCGACCCGTCTGAAGGCCTCTGTGGGGGGATGGACAGGCAATGGTCATGCCCCTCTCTCCCTGTTTGGCCCCCATTAGCTATACATTCATTTAATAAGGTTTATATAAGTTGATAAAGTGGTATGTATGTATGTATGTATGTATGTATGTATGTATGCATGCATATACACGTATACATATGTGTAGTTGCTTCTGTTTTATGTGAATGATACATTTACATATATATATATATATATATATATATATAATGTGTGTGTGCGTCTGCCAAGAGGGGTTGTCCTTTTTTCGCACAATGCTGCTGCTGGTCAGGATTGCATCTGCCAAGTCCGGGTCAGTTATCCTGTGCGACTGAAAACCCGTGGAGTAACCACAGCCCAAAGGTACCATGAAGGTAAAGCAATCAGCGCTGGCTCAAAGTGCAGGTCGACCGACGAGTCGTCACTGTTATGCCGGCATCTCAGTGAGCGCCACATCACCAGTGGTCGGCGTTTCTTTATAGAGGAGGCCTCAGTGATTGCACAAGGCGCAGCAGAAACGCAGATGATGATGCTATATGATGCTAGCAAGCGTGTTCCTGGGTCGACTAAATTAGAAGGTCAGGGCTGCCGATAGTTCTGGCCCAACTGCGGCCAGATCTGGCATGATTGGGTCTGTGCACCGACACAATCCCCGATGTGTTGCTTGAAGCGAATTCTGCTGTAGATTCCTGTACAACGCTCTTGCCCAAGGGTGTATGAGCTTTCTGCATTGCGCTGCCTCCGGCCGTCTGGGAGACATGAGGTGCACGGACATCGCTGGGTTCACGAGCATCACTGAACTCTTGGTGCTGCAGCTCCCTCAACGACGGATGAAATCATCGGATATTGCAAAGACTGCCATGTCGTGCCTTCTGAGGCGAGATCTCTACTTCATACTCACTCGCTACTTCTCAGTCCCAGCCTCGCCTGGCGACTACATGCCATGCAGTGTGGGGCAGCGCTGAGCAGCATGCTGAGGTGATGATGAGCGTGGTAGAGATCTACCAAGGCACTTCGTCGCTTCGTGTCGCTCAGGCACTCTGACAATGCATGCCAGGAGTCGTCTCCGAGATCTTAGGGGACGGGCTTATCGTCTTGTGGAACGCGCCCGACCATGCCGCAGGCTTATCTGACAAGCATTCACAAGGCGGCGTTTTTCGCGTGGGCTGGCGTGGTCTCGCATGGCTAACTTAGGTTGCCGATCACGCGACCGCCGCCTGCGCTGCGGCTCTGACGCAACAACAGGCTTGGCCCTGTTGCCGTGCTTGTTGACTGCCATAATAATTCAACCGCCAGCTGAAGAGCCGCCTCGGGGACTGTCGCGCAGCACCAACCGCAGCGACAAGAAAAGAAGACGTGGGAGAAGGGAGGAGGGGCGGGGCTCCGAAACCGCTCATGACGTACCTGTGGGACACGCTCAACGACCCGCCACAAAAGTGAAGGGGCCTGTGCCCTTCAAAAACGAACCCAAAAATCGACATCAAAAGCACGATCTGTGGGGGCTAATTAAGGAGCGAGGTCAATACCATTACATTATCATGGTCCTAGGGAACCAGATCAAGAGCCCCCCCGGCCTCGGCTTCCTAGAAATCCTGAGGCACTTTGCCACGTGAACGATGAACTGAAGGTACTGGCCTGGAGCTTGGATAGATTATGCCATCCTAGAGGATCACATGGGCAGAACACGGTCCCGAGAGTAAGGAATTGACGCCTTTGTCCATCCGAATTGGCATACACACTGGGTTGTGGACCGAGAGACGTTTGCCACAGGTTTGCGAAGATCCTGAGCCATGCAGACATGTCTGTCTGGATTTCTGCTGATTCGCTGTAAAAGGTCATCACTCCTGGGCAACATTGGCAGCATGACGTAGCCTGGACGCAGAGTGCCCTTGCAGAACCGTCATATGATTCCGTGATATTCCGTGCCTTTGAGGAAGATGAAGTATGGCTGCCTGGTCCTCAGCCCTCCGCCTGACCGCATTTTTTGCAGCCATTTGTCCACTGCTGCTCAGGTCTTGGTGAGACCAAGCAGCTCGCAATTCGGTTGGAGGAGACTTGGCTGTTCATGAATCAGCGCCCCTGGAGCGCATGAACCTGATCGTTCCTGATAGGAGCATTGCAAATACTACGAGGTTGACGTCATCTGTCTGAACCCAAGAACTGGGAGGATGCGGTTGGTCTTTGAGAGTGCTTCGGTTCAGAATTCTGCGATCGATGCCGCACGAAGTCTTCGGTCCTCAAGGCTCTTCCGACACCAAGAACGCCATTCCCCCCGGCAAGTTCTTCATGCGCTGGTTGGGCAAGGTGAAGGTTGGACGTGTGGCGTCTTTCGATTCTGCACGTAATCCGAATGTAAGCCTTGGATCCCTTAGGTGCGCAGTGATGACGAAGAGATGGTTGGAGTTCACGAGGTAATCAGCAGCAGCCTCGGCCAGCAGCCACGAACGGTGCATGGAGCAGACACGAACACATCTCACCTTGGAGGTCGCGAAAATTTGGAGGACAGGTTCAAGAATGAATACTCCATACTGCTGAAAGGTTTCGATACACCACATATGGTGAGTGGTGGTCATGCCAAATACGACTGAGATGCTGCAGATAATGCGAGACGTGCTGCTGGTGACCAGGAGGAGTCGATCCTCAGCCCAACAGCATCCGCGAGGCCCAGCGCCGAAAGAACAGACCTGCATCAGCAAGAATTCCCAATCAGCGGACATTGGGCCATCTAGGGTGAAGTCACTGTCGTCAGTGCAGCGCAGTAGCATAAAGATGTCAACCGTCTCCAGGGGTGATGAGGAAGCGTCCGTGGAACGATGTCGCACCAGCCTTACTGCAACGATGTCACAGATTGAATTACTCGGTTGGTGTTCGCGAGAAGTCGAAAAGCAAGAAATTGACTTTCTGAGAAACTACCCTCAGCGTATCTCTGCCAACTTCTGCGCTGACCGAGTTTCGTATCCATCTCTTTGCTCTGGGGAGAGTGCCTCACCGACCTCGCCGCAGCCTCGTCGATGCAGCTCCCATGCTCGCAGATCCTGACCATTTTGGTGTGCATGAGGCCTGGCCTTTCAATACAGCGGCTTCCGTCGATTCGTCCTGAACGCAGGGATCCACAAAGGCCCGGTCAAGGGGTTGCCGGACGGAGATATACAGATGTCCTGTCTGAAGGCGGCAGGCAATGAAGCGTTGGCTGCGCTATTTGAATGCGATGGCCCACGAGGAGGACAAGTGTCGAGACTTCGAAGTTAAAAACAAGCTATTCCCTTGAACGCATCATCCGAAGGGAAAAAGATCCCTCATCCCCCTCATGATATCACCGGACGCGGCTTTGCAGGAGCAAGCCGTCGGCTCCCTCAGTCTTCGTGCTTTGCTGTGAATGTGTGCGCTCTGTGCCCACAGTTTCCTTTGATCTTGTCTTGTTGTCGCCGAGCAAGACCATCAAGTCAGCAACGCTTGCTCATGACACATTTCCATGGTACCGGTCACCACTTACCACTCGTCCGCACTCGCATCAGCCCATCATCAGCGGAAGGAGGCCTAAGGCCTTACTGTCGTAGTGCGCAGCCGCTATTGAAAACCAAAGGTGCATTGCCATGGGTGGTGCTTGGCAGTGCTTGTAAGCAACACCTTGGAGCAGAAGAAGATGCGCCTGGCTTGTCGCGTTTGCTGGAGTATTCTTGTCTGAATGCAGCTGGTTGTCGATGTAAGCGAGCCCAAAATCATTGGAATATCTGGGCCCACCAAAGCTGGTAAGACAACGTTGGCGAGCGGAATCGCCCGCAAGATTTGCGGGACCGACAAGAAGCTACCGCCGCAATTCGGCCGAGATCGTGTAGAACGCTTTCTTGGTGGCAGAGGCTTTGCTTGCCGAAACTTCTTGTTCAGACTTCTTTCGTAACTGAGTCACCCTGCAAGCCTTGTCTGCGAAGTCTCCGAGCAACGGGAGTTGAGCGGTTGCGCACTGGCGCATTCCTAGCCAAGGGTAGCGACCTTTTGGTTGGTGTCTGTGCGTGGCGTAGCCGCCCTCGTTGCGAGCAGGCATACCATGCACAACTAACTCCATACTAAAATACCGTTCGCAGAAGCTTTCAAGTGAATATTTCGTCAGATAGCTTCAGGGATAAGGCTCGAATGAGAGCTCCTAACTGGTCAAAGGGCCCTTGGTCCACAGGTAGTCCGCCCCTTGCTGGGGGTATGGTGGCACGCAGGGGGTCCATGCTGGCTCTGGGGGTGCAATGGCATGCAGCTGGGGTCTTCGCCGGTCTAATGTTGGAGAGCCGTAGAAATGCCGAGACTTGATGGTCAGCTAATCAGTAGAAAAGCTTTCCCTGTACCCTGGAGTTCCTGCAGGCTCCTGCATCAGCGTTGTTGGCCAAGACTCTTACTTCAAAGGGGGAGAGCGTAACTGGGAGCTCCCGGAGGCCATTGACCACTCGTGGGTTTTGCAAACTCTCCGAGATGAGCGCAGCGACCGTTTGTCAAACCTCATCATCTTCGAAGGTTTCAAAGCCTATTGGGACGAAGAAGTTGTCAGGGAATTGGATCTCATCTTGTGGATCCGCGTGAAGGAGGAGACTTCGAAAAAGCGACGAATGAGGAACAAATCTGTCACGCACGAGGTGTGGAATGACATGTGGCACCACCATGGCAATTATGAAAAGCACTGGCTAAAACTATTGAAGAAGCATGTGGTTTGTGATTACGATGCAGGCTGTGCGGCACCAAAAGAGGAGGAGAAATGCGTGACTTTGGACGGAGAGCAACCTGCCGAAACAGTGCTGAAGCAGGCGCTCGATGTCCTGTTAAAGCGCGGCATTTTGAGAGAAGACACCGACGAGACCGACTCGAATGAGCCGATGCGGGCGGGTGCATCCAGGTCCAGAAGCCGGTCACGAGGCCACCCGGTCGTCTAGCATCTTCGGGTTGTCTGTGTTGCTACAATGTTGCTGCACTTGCTGCTCCACATGCCTTTAAAGCGAGTTGAGGATGTGCGACTGTTGTGAGCTTGAGTCGCAGGGCGCCAGCCCAATGCGAGCTCGCCGCTGGACGCACACGAGCGCTGCGCGAACCCCGCCTGCTGGTTTCGAGCTTCCCAGGAAGCAGGCGGCGGTGGCTATTGCTGCAGAAAGTGCCACTGGCGCCATGCAGCCTGGTGGCAGAACTGTGGCTCGCGTAGCCGGGACGATCGTGTCGATCTTGCAACCCAATCCCACACACGTTGTGTGTGTGAGCATGCGTGATCCGTTGGTAGGCAACTGGCTTCAAATCTGGGAAGGCGCACAACAAGGCCCGGGCATTTCTCGTCAACAATTAGGAATTAGGAATGTCTATCTTCAACACTGCCAAGAAAACTGTGCTGCACCTGCCTTTTCGCCTGCGATCCCCCTTGACCCTTGACCGGGGCTGCATGATGTGGCGGCAGAAGCATAGGAGTGTGCGAAGATCGAAGCGTCTTGGACCGCACCGCTGGCGGCAGCAGTGGCTCCAGCTGAGGACTATGTCAGCCAGCAGGCAGCAGCCGAGCCTCGTCAACCTTACTATACCTATAAGTCTCGTTTACCATAGTTTTCATCAGGAAAAGCATGTCGAGGGTCAAGCAAACGAATTTGCAACAGAAACCGATCCCTGATCCACACGATAGAAGAGCCACGGCGCATCGCAACAAACACCGCCCCTTGACAGCCTGAATGACCCTTGGATGCCCCACACGCAGAAAAGTGGATTTTCCAGCCATACGTGCCGGAGTCTCCAACTCCATTTCACGATTCGCACACGCGTCTACGTGGAGCCTGTATTTAGACTTCAGGAGGAACCTAATGCCAAACAGGGAGCAACATGGAACAAGCACGGAAAATGATGATGTTAGAGGGCATGCCTTTGGTTTCAGCTGCATGAGAACCCCTGGAAGTTTGGAGAAGTCCTCCCCACCTCGAATGTTTGCAGGGACCAGGGAGGCAAAGCATTGTTGATCCGTGTCATGACCGGGGAGCATCTCTCTCCCGTTGCGCATGTCTGTGCCTGGGGGAAGCCGACATGAAAGGTCTGAGAGCATGCAACCCAACCCATGCGGAAGCCGGTAGTGCAAAAGGCAAAACAGAACCCCTTCCACCCGCGAAACTGTTCAAAAAATATCACTGGTTGATTCGACAGGCTCGCATGATGGATACCACAGCCGGGGATGTTGCTCTATCGCAGCAGGCAGTGCATCACAGCTTTTGTGCCGAGACGTTCACGCCGCCAAACCGCAGGCCATCCCGACCGAAGATCACACATCAGTGGGCACAGGCGGGGACACTGCAAAACTCGGCAGGTCTTCGACACCATTACATGTCGTAGTGAGTCACGGAACACTGATGTTTGTGCAGCTTCTTGACAGGTGTGTCTGTGTCGGTCCCGGTGGCTGATAGCATGACCGGCATCAGCATCCACTTCCAGCGGAAGTTGTGCTGCGCAAACCCCAACTGTCCCTTCCTCGCAAGCTCAGACCCGCTGCAGGGCGGCTACTGCTGCAGCAAGTGCTACTGGCGAGCTCTGACTCCGAAAAGCTCCAAAGGAGCCAAACGCCACAATGCAGGCTGTGCCAGAGCCTATCCAGAGACTCCCGGCACAGCCCGGGCACCTCCCGATCCACCTGAAGAGGCAAAACTCTACGGCCCATCGCCTGGAGGAGACGAGTCAGTTGGGATCGCAGAGGCTGCTGCAAGCTCTGTTGCCGCCCAAGCGACGGACTCGACATCCTGAGCCGCATCGGCGAGATGTTCACGGCGTTCACGGCCTGGTCTTTGGGCTAGAAATACCCTCTTGACAATGAAGCCAGAGCCAGCTCGCGAGCTTTGTTTTCTCCAAGCCAAGCCCCTAACCCCATCGAGCCCCGAACCCAGGCACCCAAGCCCTAAGAAGTAGCTTAGAGCGGCTACATGAGAGGCTTGCGTCGTCCAGTGAATGTCCGCTAGCACATTCTCGTCGGCGGGAGGACTTCGGAATGCGCAGCTGGTGCGGTTCACATATTGATCCGGCAGTTGGAAAAAAAGCCCCTGCAGCAGACACCGTAGAGGTGATCGTGCATTCTGCACTGTGACTTTGACATGAGCTTTGCAAGCAATGTTTCAGTCGTTTCAGTTATGGTTTGCATTTCATCTCAGGCCGGTGTTGCTGGCCCTTCAGTCGATGATGCGCTGGCTTCGGAAAGATCAGCAGGTCAGTTGGTGTAAAGCCCTCAGCCGGCTGCAGAATTCGTGGGTACCAACGATACAACTCTGTAGATTCTGAGACTGGCCCAGGGAGATGGTCGCGAAAGGACGGATCAGGGACAGGGACGTCAGACGCTCAGCGATGTCCAAGCAAAGCTTGTTCCGATGGGGCCGATGCTAACCTCTTGGACAGACCAGGTCGTGACTACACAGCAACGGCGACACGTAGGAGAAGCCCGCGCACGGGGGATCCATGACTTCTAATTATAAAGCACCACCCCCGCAGTGCAAGGATCCGTTGCGTGTGAGTTGAGATCGTCATTACAGTTTCGCCACCGTGACGACCAGCAACAGCAACGACAAAGATCCTGAGCATCGTTGTTCATGGTCATTAACATGGACATCATCGAACCAACTACCGTCATCATCACCAGATGGCTCTACATAAGTGCTAGGAGACCACTGACCAACATCATGTTCTTGATGATGTGATGATGTTCATTTCTGATTGCCATCATTATCTTCACAGTTTTGATCCTCTCAATTCGGGTAGGACCGGGAAAGTCGTCAACATGCTTATCGCGTTTGTCGCCGACAGAAGGGTCAATTAATCATTGTCAGAGTCTGTTCGTCCTGATCAAATCATCGTAATCGGCCTTTGTGTCATAATCACTAGTATGACATTCTTGGTATGTTCACGTCAGAGAGCTCTTTGTCCAGAACATGAGCATGGCCATCATTGCAAGCATCTTGATTGCTGCCAGCGGCAGCATTTGTAGCACTTGTCACCTTCCTGATCATCAACAGCAGCTCCGCCCCTCATCCTCGTCATCATCATCATCATTATCACCTTCTTCAGCTTTATCTTCACATTCATCACCTCTTCCTGCGGGTTCATGGTCAAAAGTCCAGGATGAACGCTTGGTGTCCACATTGGAGAGTCCAGGGGTTTCGGCTGCTGCGTGACGACAGACAGATTGACCATCAAGATGCACCCATCCAGGACTCTACGAAAGCGCGTTGAAGGTGGCCTTGCTTGGAAAAACCAGCGCTGTCACGTTCGCGATTCTTCATCGAGTAGGATTGCAGTGACCAGTCTTCTCAGAACAGCACCCCTAAATCTCACCAAAAATACGCACTAGCCGACTAGCCCATAGTCTAAGTGGGCCCCATCGGAACTCACCACACCCTTCAATACTCACCCTACTTCACATCTACCCAATGTTTCTACCTGCCTGCAGACGGGCACAGGTCAGGTAGACCCACACACGCGCACAGAGCTTTCAGTTATCTTTTCTCCCTTTCCCTCTTTGCGTCTCTTTCGCTCTCTCTGTCTATCTCTCTCATTCTCTCTCTCCCTCTCTCTGATGAACTTTTATGCATGTGTCGAGACAGCAAACCGGCGAACGGCAGGTGGGCGTGTAAGTAAGCAGGCCGTCAGGCAGAATTGATAGAGAGATATGAGACAAACTTTTGACAAGTAGACAGAGAAACAATGAGAAACATGTCCGAACATACGCAGATGCAAGCACTGAGACAGATTGAGAGGTAGATCGATGGGTGTCTCGTACATTAATATGCAGCTGCGCGCATGAGCATGCACCTGATTGACTCAGGGCTATCTATCAGCACACCGTTGTCCAAACTCGGCAACTACATCAATTTAATGGTGCAGGCCTTCTTCAGCGGCAAGTACTCCGAGTGCATTGCTTCGGCGTGGATCCAAGAACAGGCTTCGTGTCTCTCTGATGACTGCTGGTGTGCGATGGAGCCATCTGCGGCAGAAAACTAGGGAGTTATTGAAAATGGGTCGGAAGTTATTGGTTGTCTGGATGTGTGGGTCCTTCTGCTCCCATTGACAGGGATGCGTCGGCAGTGCATGGGGATTCGTCCAGCGGTTTTCAGATTCAGGAAGAGAAGTGTGCGGTGACTGCGAGAGTTCTGTCCAAGGCAGAGATGCTCCTGGATGAAAAGGACGACGTCCCAGCCAAAAGGCTCGTGGAGGCTGCAGGCACCGAGACTGTCCTCAGCCTGCCATGCAAACCCATCCCGACTTATCCCTGCGGTCCCTTCACCGCCCTAGCAGCGACTTGTCCATGCAGGACGACTGAAAGCCCAGGGAACGGATCCTCGGAGGCCGAATCTGACTGCCCTGTAGAGGCTCTTCATGTAGGGATGTAGTAATGTATTCTCATAGAAAATTCTTCTCTGAAGAGCAAAGGCCGGGATCACAGAAAAGATGTATGTGACTGTATATGACAAGCCAGGTAGCCTTTCCGTGCTGCCATTGACAACTGTGTTTCCCGGCATCCGGCTCGATGACACAATCAAAGTAAGCAGCTCCAGACGAGCCCGCTCTGTTCATGGGGAGAGCATGCCAAATTGTCAACACCGGGTTAATTTGCATCTAAGAGTGCTTCCCTCCCTGGTCAACATGTCAAGCGTAGCCAAGCGCCAAAACTCACTCGACCTCGTTGCTGTATTGAAGAACGTATCGGATTCCTGCCGCAGCGACAAGACCTCATGAAAATTGAGCGATTCAAGCCTGCAACATCCTCTCACTGTTTATTCCCCCACGACAGTTGGAGGCGAAGTTCGGCTAGGGCTGTAGCATCAAGCTTGTACTGTTACTGCACAAATGCCACAACCCAAAATGTCACAAACGTGTAGAGTGACTTTGGAGACTCCGTTGTTGAACCTTCCGAAACCCTTTGCACTCAGCACTCTGCCAACTGTTACCTTAATGGGCATGCTTGGGCATGAACAGAACTGAATTGCAAAATGCACGCCTACATGTGATACTGCTGAGACAGAGCGCAGAATTCGCACGCATATTGATGAACAAGTTTTAAGCTTGTCTTTTCAATCTGAGCACCCGAGGCATGTCCATTTGAGACCGTGAGCACAATGCCGCACGGTGCATTGCATTTGCGGAGGTTGATGTCAAAATGCAAGCCTACTCTTGCAGCCTCCACGTTCCGGGCGACCCTGATTCATGTTGCGTCAAGAGCGTATTCGCTGGCTCGTACGAATGGGAATCTGCTAAGCTCGAATGCGCAGCTGAAGTTCGAGTGCCGCTCGATTTTTGATCTTCTGCTCGGCTTTGCTCTGGTTCGGCCCTGCATGGCAATGTTTAGCGCTGCACAATGCGGCTATGTGGCTGCGACCCTTCACACTGAACCGCGGAAGCGGGCCCATCATGTGAACGAAAGAGCGTAGTCCGCATGAATGTGCCCGCTTTGTCACGTGACGGGTCGGGTGGCTTTGCTTCGATGCCTGTAGGATATGCCAAGGGCCATCAAGTGCCAGTTTAGATCGAAATCAATACCTCTGCGTGGTACCAGCCTGAGCCGTGCAAGGACAAAAAGAATCAAGCCGTGGTTTTCCAGAATTGTGGGAGGGGCAGCTAATGAAGGTATACAACAGGCACAATGGGAAATTACGGGAGGGCTTGTCAAGGCCATTGCCGTGCAAACCAGCCGGCCAGATGCATCGGCCGGCAGCTTCAGACTTCATCTTGGCCAGGAGACCATGTGGCGAGGCATACCCTGCCTGTGTTATGCAACGACCCAGGGCTGGCTTGTACCTGGATGCATGGAGCTCTTACCATGTCCTCGTTGTAGATTGGGCTCAAGCCCGCGTTGTCTGGAGATTCAAAGATGCGAACACCTCGGATGAAATTATGGCCATGGATGTGCTTAGCCCTAGGAACGCAAAGCACCTCGCCTGCAGTTCGAGCTGAGGCATGCTCAAGGCACCTGGCACATTTCTGGGTCCCTCTGGGTCGTCCGCTTTCTGAGTATAGAGTTCTTGCAAGCATCGTGCGCGGTACGCATCTTTGCAGATGCTGTCGATTGGAGTTCTTCAGTTCGCGGTCCCCGAGAAGCCAAGGTACCGTCGCCTCGCGTGAGCTCCTCAGATCCAGCTTGGAAGCTCGCTGCCGTAAGAGATCAAACAAGGTCTGGTACTTGATGTTCAAGACTTCTTCAGAAGACAGTACGAGGCACAGGCTTCCTGGCTGCCCGGGAGGGTTTGGCCTTCGCAAGATATGTGAGCGACAGCCAAAGATCCCCTTTCCGAACTGCCACAAGAATGATCATGGCAAGCTGGTGTCTCAAGTTGCTGTTGCTGTGTGGATAGCAGTCGATTCCACGCGATATCTCTAACAGCAGACTGGTTCATGTTCCATCAACACTCAGGACTTGCACCGACAAGGACTACTTGTAATTACAGAAACTGAACAATGACAGACTTCTAGACTCAGTCACAAAGATGCGTTTGCACTAGCATGCATGTATCGGAGGCTTGGACAATGTCCTTACTGATTTGACTGGTATCGATCCTGTTGGGGCTGAGAACTGCCAGAAAGCTGCCGAAAGCAGTTTTCGAGAGCCACCGGTAAATGGGCAGAGCATGGGCAGATTTGGAGGCCCGGACTTGCATTTGTAAATTGACACGAACCTGCTGAGCTCCATGTTGAAATGACATGAATGCTACGAACTGCAACGGCAGCACCTCTCCTGTTGGCATGCCGAGGTAAGGTAGGTATTTTGGGCGAGCAGGGTGGTGTGGCAAGTGACGCTTTCGCAGTCTTTCCATGTTGCTCCAGCTTCAGGTGGCAAAAGGATGCAACAGGTGTACACTAGGAGTGGAGCAGTCTTCAGAATGCAGACTCCGTGCTCAAGCCCAGGCTCTTAACAGCTCCAGTCTCGACAGGGTGTTGAGCGGCAAAGAGAAGCAGGTGCCGCCAACATCATTCGGTGTTCTCGCTTGGCATGCAGTTGCGAAGCCGGCTGTGTCCTGGTTGTGCCAACTCTGGCTGCTGCCAGGAGAAGCACGAATGCCATGCTGTAGTAGCAGGTGCGGAAGACAGGACAAGCTGGCACAAAGGAAGCAAGAACTGCAAGTGCCCGCCAGATCATGTTGTCGCCGCCTGTCCGCAAAGAGACGAACCACTCGAGGGTGCACTCAAGCCTGTGACTCATCTGTCGACAAAGCCTCTTGTCCGAGGCTGGCAAGTCGTGGGAGTGCGGCGAAGCTCTGGGGCATCGTCACTTCTCGAGTAGGATGGCAATCTCAACCTGCAGCTGCTGCGTGACCGAATGAGACAGGGTTATAGCCTGTCCGGATGCACAGAGACATCCGACTGCATCCCAGGCGAGCCAACTAGCAAGTGCGAGGAAATGGTTGCAGGCGCGATGTGTTGCAGTTATGACGGCTCTGTACCACAGCACGGGTTTTGCGAAAGTCTTTTCTCTGACAACATTCCGACATAGGCACTCGGCATCAGTTCGGTGCATGCGGAATGCCAGAAAGTACTAGAAAGCATGAACCGGGGAGCAGCGCAGCAGGTGCCAAGGCGCGAAATTCAGCATCCAAGAACGCAGCCAGGCTTGTGGGTGCCTTCAACGCCCCTGTTCGACGTGTTTGGATTACATCGAGCGCTTGAACCTCACAAATTCCAGGCCATGCAAGTGTGAGAAGCCGGACGAGGTTCTCGATGGCAAGGCCGTTGCAATCCGCATTGTGTGCGACATAGCCTAGGGCCTAGGGTCTAGAGTGACTCGCTGCCAGTCTTAAGGGGCCACCTAGCCTCAGCAAAGCGTTGGTTTCCGCAAGGCACACGAATGTTCGACGTACCTGGGAGAGCGATACTTTCCAAACACATTGCCTCCTCAGGCGCGTGGATTCGGGTTGTGTTCCCATGTCAACTCATTTCTTGAAATCCTACTCTCACTCTCTGGACATCAAGTGTGTCCGCTCAGCCGTGAGCACAGCAGCGAAGCATATTTGGGCAGGTAGAAGTGTCAGAAGAAGATGAAAACACTGAATTCCATTAGCCACTGTGTAGGACAAGCCCTTGGTCTGAATGGCCGTGCGAAGTCGTGGATATGTATCAGAGTGATCTTGCAATGCAGGAGTGCGCATGCCGACCGAACGAATTGGCCAGTCACAACTGCGGTGACATTGCTGCTGGTGCCATTGAGGTGGACAAAGTAGCTCGTCTCAGTCCAACCACATCGTACATCAAAACTAGGTAACGTCGTACATCAAAACTAGGTGATGCATTCAGCCAAGGACGGGCGAGCTCAGTGCGAGTGCCCTGAGGAGCAGTTCATCAGTGGCGAGGATCAACAATGCAAAGACTTCTTTGGGGCGCGTCTCTTCCCGAAAAGGTGGCACGCGCCTTCTTGCAGCGACCGAACCACTTTTGCAGCTGTGCAGCCGCCCCAAAGAACAGGTTGAAGCCAGGCCTTTGCTCCTGCAGCGCTAACGCTCGGCGTCCAGGCAGCGGGTCTGATCGAGACCCGGCATTGGCAGTTAAGCATACGAGACACCCCTCTTCTTTGCACATCATGACATCGGGAATGCCAAAAAGTCCAGAAATTATGTTGCACGCGCTGTCTCAGGAGTTCACTTGGGCGTGGCTCCGGTCTTGGTTGCCTTGGCAGCACGGTTCGCCTCTTGAGAAAAGCGAGCTTGCGCAAAAGCCCATAGTGTGGAATGTGGGTGTACCAATCATCGCAGGCGAATCCTGGACCTAAGAGTTCTCTTCGCGTTTGTGTTGATGCCGTGGTCGCTACTGTTGTGCATATACTGTAGTGTATCAATTCAAGATAGGTTGCCGAGCTCAAGCCTCTCGGAAGAGAGGAAGTGCCAAAGTCAGAAGATGAAGCTATCTTCTCCACCGCAAGCAGCATCCTCAAACCTAAGCTTCAAGACTCGCAACCACTCTTAGGATGAGGTTTTGTTTGTAGTTTCGATGCCGCCCAAGCCTTCGAGAGCGCAGCCGCGGTTTCTCCGGCTGCAGTTATTCTCCGAACTTCTGTTGAGCCACCTCCCGCGGTTGGACTCCCGCAGTCTGCCTGCTAGCTGCTGGCAGCAAGCCAAATCCTGCATGTCTGCATATGCCTGCGCGGAAGGCAGAGTCTGAGAGACGACTGTTTTTGACTATCAAAGCAGGAAGAAGCGACAGCGCGGCAAAGAGGAGGCTGTACACAGCCTGAATGCGTGTTGCACACGACAAGATTGGAAACTGCGCAGGCCGTGGAAGCCACTGTCGTGGTTGGAACGTGACCCAGATGCTTCTTGCTGCCGCAGGAAAAGCTGCAGCTGTGAACTGCGGTTGAGGTACGACGGTGGACTGCTGGGGTTCGGCTTGGAAGATGGAGTTTGGGTCCAAGGCGATTTCACGAGGCTTACAAAGGAACACCGTTGATCGATGTCAGGACTGAGACTAAGAGCATCATGTTTCACAGTCAGTCTAGTTTCATTGAGGCTCAGACCTTTGGCTACGCGCCCCATATTGGCTGCATCAAGGCAGTGCACTGTAACAAGGCCGAATGGCTGGATTTGTACCTTGCGAGCTCTTGTCGATTTGCTGGCATACTGTACCAGGAAGGCAAGCTTGCATCGGGTGCTACGGATAACGCCGTTGGGTGCTCAGCGACATGTTCGTGAGGAGAGGACAGCGTCGCCCAGCCTTGTAGAAGACCCCCACGGGACGGGCACCACGTAGTGCATGCAGTCAGCTCACCCATGGCCTCGAGGTCCGACTCTTCGATTTGGCCAAGAGGGTCGAGCTCGGAGAGCTTCAGGAACATCAGGACCAATGCCAAGAGCCGTGCAAGCACTCACGATATTTTCAAGTGCAGCCAGAGCATGCCCTCAAGTCAAGCGTGAGGACTCGGTGTCGGCCTTGCAGTTTTGGAAAGGCACACTGATCACAGCCAGCAGCGATGGGCAGGCCTGTTCTGTATTTTTGACCTGTCCCTGCAATTGCGCACAAGCTTTCCGGATTGCCAGATGCACGAACATGGTGGAAGGTTTGTATCTGGCGCGGTGGCGATTTCGAGCACGGCTGGCTACCTTGCCCCTGCAAGCACGGCAAGTGCAAGTTACTGTAGGAGTCAGAAAATTTGTAAACTCGCCGGCAACTTTCCGGCAGTTCGGCCGGAAAACCCTAAACCCTAAACTCCTAAACCCCTAAATCCTAAACCCAAAGAGCATTCCTAATGGCATCCTTTTTTCGCAGCCAGGCTCCTCCTGAAGTTCCAAGGCCACAAGGCCAGTGACTCGTATTCTTCTTCATCTGCTCGATGACTCGTATTGAAAACCACTCAGGGTTTAGGTTTTATGTTGAGTAGCACACGTGTGTGCGAA